CAATATGCCAGCAAATTTGGAAAACTCAGCAGTGGCCACAGAACTGGAAAAGGTCAGTTTTCATTTGAATCCCAAAGAAAGGCAATGCCAAAGAATGCTCAAACTACCGCATAATTGCACGCATCTCACAAGCTAGTAATGTCCAAAATTCTCCAAGCCAGGCTTCAACAATACGTGAACGGTGAACTTGCAGATGTTCAAGCTAGTTTTAGAAAAGGCAGAGGAACCAGAGATCAAATTGCCAACATTTGCTGGATCATCAAAAAAGCAAGAGAGTTCCAGAAAAACATCTATTTCTGCTTTATTGACTATGCCAAAGCCTTTGACTGTGTGGATCACAATACTGTAACTGTATGCTTTTCTGTAAGCATAACAGAAAAAGATCATGCCATATTTGCTTTGCTTTTGTCTGTTCCTTTCATTCTTGTAAGTTACCTATAGTAATGTATCTTTTGTGTTAGTTGCTCAGTCATGTCTAACTCTTTGTGACCCATGGACTGTAGCCTGCCAGGCTCCTTTGTCCATGGGATTTCCCAGGCTAGAATACTGGAGTGGGTTGCCATTTCCTTTTCCAGGGGATCTTCCCGACCCAAGGATCAAACCTGGATCTCCCTCATTGCAGGCAGATTCTTTACTGTCTGCCCCAATGTATCGTTGTCATTGTTGGCTTTTAAAATTTTTTGTGTATTGGTTTATTAGTTTTTTTTTGGCTGTGCTGGGTCTTTGTTGCTGCATGAGCTTTCCTCGAGTTCAGGGAAACAGGGGGCCACTCTGTAGTCGTGGGGTGTGGGCTTCTCATTGCCGTGACTTCTCTTGTTTTTGGAGCACAGGTGCTAGGGCGCTCGGGCTTCGGTGTCTGAGCCGTGTGGACTCAGCAGTCGTGGCTCCTGGACTCTCGGGGATAGACGCAATAGCTGTGGCACGTGGCCTTAGTTGCTCCACAGCATGTGGGATCTTCCTGGATCAGGGATTGTACCCATGCTGCCTCCATTAGTGGGTGGATTCTTTACCACTGAGCTTCTAGGGAAGTCCTACTTGTTAACTTTTTTTTTTTTTTTTTACAGTACAGGTGGAAAAATGGAAATAGTGAAATGAATAAAGAGTTTGACAAATATAGTCTGCACTCAACAAAGTGTTTAGTACCTGAAAAAAAAAAAAATGAATGTTGTTTAAGACAAAAGTACTCTTCTTCTTCTTTTTTTTTTTTATAAATCTATATAGTTTTATTAAGACAAAAAACCGACAGTGTTGATATGAAGTTTACATTTAAACAAAAGTTTTCACAAAAACCTATCACACGCCTAAAAATTACAATGGAGTTCTAGATGCAGGTCAAGACAATGTCAACAACTGATGGATCTCGTGACTCAAGACAGCGTTTTGGATTTTAGTTAATTCTTAGGATTAAAAAATTTGTTTTGTTTTAAAGTGAACCACTGCCCCAGTATGAAAATTAAATCTTCTCCTGAGACCAGGGCTTTTGAAATCATTCAACTCTTGAACTTGTGCTGTCAGTGACTGAACCCTGCCACCAGTGGTTTCAAAGTTCAAAAAACAGAGGCNCCTCAAAAGGTACCTTACTTTATGGTACTGAATGGATTAAAGCCTGAAATGATTAAAACATTGACAGCATCTCCTCACACACATTAATACCTTTGCACTTACTTGTTCTTAAACCTCAGATGTGAGTAGATTATGTGGCTTCATGAGAGACCCCCACCCCCCACCCTGCAGACATTTTTAAAGCATTAGCCTATCTAAGACTGCAAAAGGACTGAGATCCAAGCAGCAGCAGAAAAAAGGTGCTGAAATTATCTGGCTGTCAGCTTCTTTGACAGCAGCATGAATTCTGGGCTAGTAAAAATTCTTACTTCAAGTCTTACCTCTTCTTTTTTCTTCTTTGGTTTGCTCTCCTCCCCCTTATCTTCTGAATCAGAATCAGCTTTGCGCTTGCCTCCCTCTGATTTATCTGTCTCGTGTGCTGTTTTCTGTGACTGCAGAAACTCAGCAATGAGGTCAGGGCAATCCAGGTTCTCTTCTGGTTCCCATGTGTTATCCTCACTGAAACCAGAGGCACACGAGTCACAAAGTTAGTACACACTCACACCACTGAGAGGCACAGGAGGACGAGAGCTGCTGGCCTTGGAGAAGAACTCGATTCTGTCCAAGACCAAGAACTCGACAAAGCTCAAATTACTTGGGAGGTGGTAGGGGGCTTTTTAATATTAACACAAATCAAAAGCTGCCTCCCTCAAAAGAGAGTTTCCTTTCTCTTCGCAAACTTCCATCAGTCTTAAGCCACACACAAACCTGCTCATCAGAAACTGGTCACGCATGATAGCATTTAGTACATGTAGATCATGTTCCTAATCGGACTATAAGCCATGGAGGCCAAGCCAGAGTCACAATGTACCATCAGAGCACCCCGTGCCCTGTCCTGCACACGGTCAGCCTCCCGAGAAGCAGCTGGTGGCCGAGTGCACAGCCCCTCCGGGCAGAGACACTCACTCTGAGAACCCCTTCCACTTCAGCAGGTACTCCACTTTGCCCTTCACCACTCGGCGGTCTAGGACTTTCTCCACCACATACTCTTCCTCCTCTTCTTCTAGCACCTCCTCCACTTTCTTCTTGTTTTGTTTTTTCCCCATAGTGCCCGCCAGCTTTCTGGTATAAAGGATGACGCTGCTCGGGTCTTGCAGTCGTCAACCCTCCCTACGCTGGTTCAAGCGCCCAGGCTGTCCCGTCAGTCCTCTTCCCAATTTACTGTTTCCTCTCCAGCCCAATCCCCCAGCCATCCACCCAACCCACGTAGCATTGTCTCGGTCTACTCAGGCCGAAGAGCGACCCGCAACTCAATAGTACTCTTCTTATAGTCCAGAAGGCTTTTTCTTAAATTTGGGGAAGTAAAATTTAACAACTGCTAGTTCCACAGGGAACTCTACTCAATGCCCTGTAGTGATCTAAAGGGGAAGGAAATCCAAAAAAGAGGGGATATATTTATACATAGAGCTGATTCACTTTGCTGTAGAATAGAAATGAACACAACATTGTAAAGCAACTACACTGCAATAAAAATTAAAAACTGCTAGTTCCACAAGGACAATCTTGACATGGACTGAGAAAGGTGGTTTTAATTAAAGCTGTGATGCTTCATCATCTGAACTTTGTTTATTGCTTCATGGATCTGATTTATGCAGAGCAGGGGATAAATAAATTCTTAAATGTGAAACATGGGTCAGAAGAATTAGAAGGCAAATTAACTTTAAAGTGTAACCAAGAGCATAAACATATTTGCTTCTGTCTGGAACCAAATATAAAGTTGGTTTCTGCTTATGAAAAAAAAAATAAGCTGTTGCCTCATAATGCCAACATATCTACTTGTCTGTCAGCATGAAGCTAGAACCTCCTTGTGTCTGAATAAGGTCAAAACATTTCTAGCTGACTCAGTCCATATATATGATATGAAGACTTCTGGAATTAAAAGTAGCACCCATTCAGTATCACAGGTTATTTTAACAGCTTTGCAGCAAAGATTGCCCGATTTGATTCTCTGAGATGTTTAAAATGTCAAAACTCACTGGGGCCTATCAAAAGTGACTGCTTGCTTGTTGGCTATGTATGTGCACTATCTAAGTCTCAAGCAAAATGGTTATACACATAAGTTATATAAAGAAAACTAAACCTACAGGTTATAACCCTAGAGAAAATATGTGTGTGTGTTTAAAGTAAATGATAAAGCTCAAGAGGTGAGATCCTTTCTACTGCAGGCTCTAGGTAAATGCTTTATCCATGGTTCTACCTTGATTTTATTTTAAAATTTTTGTTTATTTATTCATTCATGTTTGATAGTTAAAGCAAAAAATCTATTGTGGAGGGTTACAACATATGTATCAGTATGAGTACTGATATGAAGAACCGATTCATTGGAAAAGACCTTGATACTGGGAAAGACTGAAGGCAAAAGGAGAAGGGATGGATGATAGAGGATGAGACGGTTTGATGGCATCACTGACTTGATGGACATGAGTTTGAGCAAACTCTGGGAGATGGTGGAGGACAGAGGAGACTGACATGCCATAGTCCAGGGGGTCGCAGAGAGTCAGACAGAACTTAGTGACTGAATAACAACAGCAGCACAATGTAACGTATGAAAATAACAGCACGGAAAAAGGACCGGGTATAAATGGGCTTGTGTTGCTGTAAGATACTTATGCTATCCATGAAATAGTACAGTATTTTTAATTTGTATTTTTTGCAGTTTTTATTGAAGTAGTTGATTTATGCTTTATTAATTTAAGGTATATAACATGATAGTTCAGTATTTTTGTAGATTATATTCTATTTAAAGTTATCATGGGACACTGCCTGTATTCCCTTTGCTGTACATAAAACCCTTGCATCTTATTTATTTTATGGCTAGTAGTCTGTACCCCATAATCCCCTTTCGTTATTTTATGTCCCTCCCCTCACCGCTCTCTCCACTGGTAACTGCTAGTTTGTTCTGTCTGTGAGTCTGTTTTTGTTTTGTCATTCATTCATTTGTTTTATTTTGTTAGATTCCACATAAGGTTCTACCTTGATTTTGGTGTCTCTAGTGTTAGTAGAAATATCCCCAGAGTGTCATCTATAAGGGGTTCTACTCTGTAAAGCAGAATTTTTCCTTGGTTTCCAAAGTCCTTTAAAAGGTCATTCTCAAGACAAGAGATAACAAGTGTTGTGAGGAGATGGAGAAAAGGGAACCCTTATTCACTGTTGGTGGGAATATAAGATACTTTAAAAATAGTATGGAGGTTCTTCAAAAATTATGAGTAATATTACCATGTATGTGTGTTAGTTGATCAGTCGTGTTTGACTCTTTGCAGTCCCATGAACTATAGCCCATCAGGTTCCTTTGTCCATGGAATTCACCAGGAGACAATAGTGGAGTGGGTAGCCATTCTTTTCTCCAGGGGATCTTCCTGACTCTAGCATTGAACCTGGGTCTCCTGCATTGCAAGTGGATTCTTTACCACTTGAGCCACAGGGAAGCCCCAGAATTAACATGGGATCCAGCAATCTTAATTATGGATATATATCCAAAGGGATGAAAACAAGATATTGAAGAGATATTTGTTCATGACAGCCAAGGTTTGAAATAACCTATGTGTCATCAATGAATGGATAAAGAATGAATCAATATTTTATATATATATATAAAACATTCAAACACATGAGAGCATTATTTAGTCATGAGAAGGAAGGAAGTCTTGCCATTACTACAACACGAGTGGCATTTGAGGGCATTATACCAAGTGAAATAAGCCAGACAGAGAAATAAAAATATTGCAAGGTGTCACTTATGTGAGGAATCTAAAAAAAAAAATTGAAGTCATAGAAACAGAGATTAGAAAAATGGTTGGCAGAGCCTGGTGTATAGGGGAAATAGGGAAGTGTTGGTACAGTGTTACAAAGTTTCAACTATAAGATGAAGACAGTCTGAAGATCTAGTGTATAACATAGTGACTTTGTATGCAGATCAAGAAGCAACAGTTAGAAATGGACATGGAACAACATCCTGTTCCAAATTGGGAAAGGAGTACATCAAGGCTGTCACCTTGCTTATTTAAACTATATGCAGAGTACATTATGTGAAATGCCAGGGTTGATAAAGCACCGACTGGAATCAAGATTGCCAGNCCCAAAGAAAGGCAATGCCAAAGAATGCTCAAACTACCACACACTTGCACTCATCTCACATGCTAGCAAAGTAATGCTCAGAATTCTCCAAGCCAGGCTTCAACAGTATGTGAACGGTGAACTTCCAGATGTTCAAGCTGGATTTCGAAAAGGCAGGGGAACCAGAGATCAAATTGCCAACATCCATTGGATCATCAAAAAAGTGAGAAAGTTCCAGAAAAACATCTACATCTGCTTTATTGACTATGCCAAAGTCCTTGATTGTGTGGGTCACAACAAACTGTGGAAAATTCTGAAAGAAATGGGAATACCAGTCCACCTGACCAGCCCCTTGAGAAATCTGTATGCATGTCAAGAAGTAACAGTTAGAATTGGACATAGAACAACAGACTGGTTCCAAATGGGGAAAGGAGTCTGTCAAGGCTGTATATTGTCACCCTACTTATTTAACCTATATGCAGTGTACATCATGAGAAATGCTGGACTGGATGAAGTATAAGCTGGAATCAAGATTTCTGGGAGAAGTATCAATAACCTCAGATGTGCAGATGATACCACCCTTATGGCAGAAAGTGAAGATGAACTAAAGAGCCTCTTGATGAAAGTGAAAGAGGTGAGTGAAAAAGCTGGCATAAAGCTCAACATTCAGAAAACTAAGATCATGGCATCTGGTCCCATCACTACATGGCAAACAGATGGGCAAACAGTGGGAACAGTGGCAGACTTAATTTTCTTGGGTTCCAAAATCACTGCAGATGGTGACTTCAGCCATGAAATTAAAAGATGGCTGGTGCTTGGAAGAAAAGTTATGACAATCTTAGGATATTAAAAAAGAGACATTACTTTGCCAATAAAGGTTCATATAGTCAAAGCTATGTGTTTCTAGTAGTTATGCATTAATGTGAGATTTAGGCCATAGAGAAAGCTGCGTGCTGGATAATTGATTCTTTTGAACTGTGGTGTTTGAGAAGACTCGAGAGTCCCTTGATCAAACCAGTCAATCCTGAAGGAAATCAGTCCTACTCATTGGAAGGACTGGTGCTGAAGCTGAAGCTCCAACTTTGCTGCCTGATGAGAAGAGCCGACTCATTAGAAAAGACCCTGATGCTGGGAAAGACTGAAGGCAGGAGGAAAGGGGATGACAGAGGATGAGATTGTTAGATGGCATCACCAATTCAATGGACATGAGCATGGGAAAAATCCTGGAGATGGTGAAGGAAAGGGAAGTCTGGTGCAATCCATGGGGTTGCAAAAAGTCAGACACGATGAGCAACAGAACTGACCAACTGATGGTTGATAGCACTTTATTACATAATTGACGTTTGCTAAGAGAGTAGAATTTAAATATTCTAATCCCCCAAATATAGAAATATGTAATAATAGATGAGGAGAATCCTTTTACTATCACACTATCATCACAATGCACAGTTTAAATATCCTACAGTGTTCTGAATTATATCTCAATAAAACTAGAAAATAAAAATAAATAGGAGTCCTAAGGGAGATTCTGTTAATGTGTTTTCTTTCCAAGTGTACTGTTAAGTGTCCAAGGGCTTGACTGCTGTCTTAATCAGCTTTGTGTAGTCAGTGCTGAGCATGCTGTAAGTACCCGATGCACATTTGTTGTGTGAATGAATGAAAAGCTTGCTGGATGGGTGGGAGATTGCTCAATCCAGTCTCTATGAAGGCAGCTGCTTTCCCAACTGACCCTTTTTCATGGTGTTTCTCAAACCATGTGGTCGAAGTATGTTCCATGGGTTACCTGCATCTGAATCATTTGGAGACTTTCTAATAATGCATATTCCACTTGAAACAGATCTCCAAAGTTGGACTTCAAAGTCCTGCATTTTCAACTGTAGCAAGTTCCCAGGTGATGCTTTGAGATGGGCAACAGCTGCCTTAGTAGTTATGAAGCCGTCTCTTCCCATCTCTTTATAAAAATAACATCTTAAGGTCACATAGCTTTCCTCATTGATACAACTTGCAAAGTCACCTTTTTGAGTGTTTTCTACATTTGCTGCCACCGGATGA